CCTTTATGGAAGCAATGACATTTCTATATGATCGATAAACCAGATGGTTGAAGGAAGTGAAATTCATGGGTTATTAGTTTCAGAGATGATGAAAGGTGAACAAAAATAGACCAACTTAATGCACGGTAGTAAAGCATGTAATTATCATAATCGCTGAATGATCACGAATGGTCAAGGTCGGGTCTGGATCAATTTTCGGTAAATCTGGATACTACACCCTAAAAAAATACAACATGTTGATAGAACTTGATGCTAATGAGGAACTGTGCAAAATAATTAACTTATTAACAAATAAGATGCCAATAACGTCAGCTAATAAAGATGACATAACTGGGAAGTGAGTGTGACGTATGTCAGGTACTCCTCACGCCCGCCATAAGTGCGTTGACATTCAATACCAGCTGTTCCATGTGAGTAGCATCTTCTCTCATATTTTGAGGGGAAAAGTAGCTGTCAAAAACCGACTCTTCACTGCTCTCATGTTTCCAATTAGCAGCCAAGGCAATCATGGTTCCTCCTTCTTTATTGGTTGGGTAAAGAAATGGCAGGATATCCCGAGCAACATGCGGCCAGCCGGCTGAGATCGACGTTGGCTTCGTTTCTAAGCAGGCTCAGGTTTGAAGACGTGTGCACCAATTTTCACTTCATCTTCTTATAATACTGTTTGGATTGAGTTCTCTCTGCCAGAATTCAACAGTTTTTATATTTGATGTAATTAAAGGCCCATAAGTGATCAACTACCATGCAAAATGTTTTAAACAAAGAGCTATTGAGGGAGTCTGTGTGCAATGAGTTGACTTCAATTAATGCCTTTTCAAAAGCACGTATTTGATACTGAAATGTCATTGACATGGAAAGCCCTCACTTTTTTAAAAAGAAGGTATTCCCATCGCTCTCCCATCATGAATGAGGAGCAATCTTGGTATAAAATGACATTATCTCACTCTAGATACGTGAGGACATAGACCCCGTTCTCACTCACTTTGAAAGTGGTCTTAGTTAGACCGCTCCAGACCGCTCCAGAGGAACGGGTCTTGAGGAACGGTTTGCGAGCGTTCACACTCCGAGCAGTTTTTATGGCTCAAACCGCTCCACGAGTCAAAGTGGTCTTGTTGCTATGGCAGCTCAGGTAGGCGGGTCAATTTTTTCGCGCGCGGAATCCAAACCGTACATGTTTCGCACCGAAGGTCACTAGCTCACTTCCGTTCAAAGTACGCTTTCCGTTCACATTGCACGTTAGAGCGCTCTGGAGCGCTCTTAATAAGACCCGCTCCTCAAGACCACCTCGGAAGGTGGACTTCTGGAGCGGTCCAGAAGTCCGCTTCCTGGACCACTTTGAGCGTTCTCACTCACCTAAGAACCGCTCCTGAGGAGCGGGTCTTAGTTAGAGCGCTCCAGAGCGCTCCAACGAAGTGAGTGAGAACGGGGTCATACACTTGCTTTGCTTGAATTCTAAACTGAGTTTATGTGAACAAGCCTTGATGCATAGACATCTGACTCCTTAGTAATCAAGGAACATTCAAGAGGCTCAATTTAGGTTGGAATTGGTCTAAATATGAGATGATAAAGCATGTATATCTTTACTTTTCTTGCATAAAGGTTTTGTACTTGTTCACTCTCTCAAATATAACAATATTTCAAAATTGGAATTATCATGGGTACTCTCTTTCTTTTTTTCTTGTCAAATTGTAATATAAAAATAAATATTTGAATCTATCTCTAACCGTCTTACTAATTTCCCTTTCTCTCTATCGAACTTTCTTTCCCTCCATCTCTCACCCCTCTCTCTGTATACATGTTTCATTGTAAGAAAGCAGAATTACAATAATTAGGGGAAAGTGCAATTCTGAGGACTAAACATGAGATGAAAAAGGTAGAGAGAGAGAGAGAGAGAGAGAGAGAGAAAGAGAGAGTGCACATATTATATTGGCAACCTACATAACGTTACGTCTCTCTCTCTCGTCTCTCTCCTTTCAACGCAATCTTTGACTGAGCAACGTCCTTGGTGAGCTGATTCCCAAGCAAATTCAAGTTGAAAGGAAGTCAATATTTCTTGGGAACGTGTTCAACGTTACAACAAACAATCAGACACTTGAACAAACTAAACTCCCCCACTACATGCCAGTCGCCAGCAAGAGGAAATTCTAGCTGTGATTTTTCTCACGATACAATGAATATTGGAGTCTGTGCAATATTCTAATGATATTGCTTACACTTGCATCATTATTAAGTTTCTTTCAAACTAGAGATGAATAAAGTGCAACAGCACTGGAAAGAAAGCTAAGAATTGTTAAAATGAATATTTCTTGATATGACTAAATATTCTGAATTTTGTTTCAATATTGGTATGTTAGAATCAAAATTAGAATTGAAGCACTCACTGCAAATCATGAGTGATGTATGGAAAAGTGAAGGGGAACTGTGTAGGCATTTAAAACTTAATAAATCTCAGATCAAAATGCCTGTTGCAGAAACTCTCAGTGTGATACTTTTGATGACAATTTTTTTCATTTCTTCAACACAAAATACCTTTTTTCTCACAATTTCTCCAATCTTCTGCAATTCCTGAACTCTCTGAAAGTGCAGAAAATACCTAAAGCCAGGAATGTATTGAAATAAAATTTCTCATTCTAGGTTTCTAACATACAGGATGAAATCAATAGTTCTCATTGTGAAGGAGCCTTTATAATAGTATAAGAAGGGCTCCGGTATAGCTCGCACATCGATAAACAGTGAAGTAGTGCAGTACCTTCTAGTTACAAGCAGACAGAAGAGAGGAGGTGGATAAGGAGTGGAGAAATTGAGAGATAGAAAGGGATGGAAAGAGGGAGATTCAGATAGATAGGTAGAGTCAGAAGTATAGACAAAGAGGGGGAAGATGGAGAGAAAGAGAGAGAGAGAGAGAGAGGTAGAGGAAGACGGAGATAGAGAGAGAGAGAGAGAGAGAGAGAGAAAGAGAGAGAGAGAGAGAGAGGTAGAGGAAGACGGAGATAGAGAGAGAGAGAGAGAGAGAGAGAGAAAGAGAGAGAGAGAGAGAGAGGTAGAGGAAGACGGAGATAGAGAGAGAGAGAGAGAGAGAAAGAGAGAGAGGTAGAGGAAGACGGAGATAGAGAGAGAGAGAGAGAAAGAGAGAGAGGTAGAGGAAGACGGAGATAGAGAGAGAGAGAGAGAGAAAGAGAGAGAGGTAGAGGAAGACGGAGATGGAGATAGAGAGAGATAGAGAGAGAGAGAGGGAGAGAGAGAGAGAGGTAGAGGAAGACGGAGATAGATAGAGAGAGAGAGAGAGAGAGAGAGAGGGGGAGCAAAAGGAGAAAAGAGAAACAAAAATACAGAGGAGACAATGAGGAAGAGAAAGAGACAGCTAGAAATATATATGTCAGTCTGTGTGCAGCCAGAAGGGCGTTAACTATATGTAAAAGCATATGAGGTGAAGTCCTTCTAGCCCCGAACAGATGATAAGGAGTTAGAGAAAGGAGAGACAGACAGGGTATACATAAGAACTCTAATATTGAGTAAAAGTGAGATTTCCCCAAAACAATTAAATTTGTTCTTATATTTCTTGAGCTCTTACTCTTTAGTTTCTCGAGCTCTTTGTAGCTTTCCAGGGTTCATATGATCTCCACTCCCCTGCATTCTTCTTTATGACAGTATCATGAACAACTGCACATAAAATTTCTACCATTTTCACCGAAGTGCTCTTCAAAAATCAGCCGCAGTCTTTGATGTAGTGGTATTCAAGTGTTGGACCAAATGGGTCCTTTGGATGGGGTAGGGATGATATAAGGTGAAATGAATACTCATTGAATACTCTTTCTAGAGTAGGCTAAGTGGCATCACACCCACTGTCCGAATTTCCTCCCCTTAAAATGATATCCTCCATCTCTCATCACTTCGCTGGCAGCTAGCCTACCTGAGCATCTCAGCTCAGGTGATGTGGGGATAGGAAACATTCATAATTTATCTCGGCTGTCATCGTCTCCGGGAGACGTAACCTGTAATCTTGTATATATGTGTGTTGTGTTGGTGAGGATTCTTACAGACGCGTATCAATCAGATCTAATTATTGAAGTTTGATACAGAACTAGAAGTGTCGTAGTCAAGTTAAGCACTTGACTTGAAATTAAAAGGTTGTGGTTCGATCCTAAACATGGCACTAATGTCCTTTGGCAAGGCATAAATCTACATTTGTGACTCAATACCCAAGAGAAATGTGGGGACCTGCTAGGATGACGAAAGCCTTTGAATTTGCCTATGCCCTCACGGTGGCCATATGGTAGGAATTCTGCCCAGGGAGTGGAGATAGTGCACATTGTGTGTGAATGAATCTGATGACTGGGGTAATAATATCTGTAAAGTGCTAAGAGACAGTATTCTGTATTAAGCACTATATAAATCCAGGTTATTATTATTATTATTACATCATATGTGCGCAATCAGCTCTGTGGAGACCCTGCTATACAGTAGTAGTCAAAATCAAGTAATCCCTCTCTCACGGGGGGTAATTACCAAGTTTATTGTGAGGAATTTTGTGGAAGTTTCACTATCAAGTTTGTAGGAATACACAGTCAAAAAATATGCAAACTCTGAGAATAAAATATTTCTACAAGTATAGCTGAACATGTAATGAGCAATATTTGATTCCCTGGTGCAATCGGTTCCTGCACATCTTTTGGTATAAGGATATCTATGTATATTACTATATATAGACATTTGTAATTCTATTGTTCACACCAATTCGATAAGACCAGATGTCAATCATTAATTTTGATTGATAATCTTTTAAAATACGATGCCCTCCTAAGTACAGAGTGAGGGATACAAGTATATAGCTAGGATGTGCAACATTAATTCTGTTGAAAAGCTGATGCATGCACATGTAAAATATCAGAGGTAACCCCCCCCCCACCCACCCACCCACTCACACACACCCAAAGGGCATATGTTTTCTTGTGTCCCTGCTGTCCATTTGAAGTGACGAAATGTTTAAATTGACTACTCACCATTATCTGTGTACTCCTCTCCAACAAAGATGTATCTAAGATACCAGTTGGTTGTCAAGGTGATAACAAGGAAGATGAGAGCACCGATGATGCAGATGATGATAAAGGAATAAACAAAGAATGGTAGACAACGTTGCCAGAACGTCCTAGGCATCTTCTCTTCCTCCAATCGAATCTCATCAACATCCGATGTCACGGCACTCGCCATTTCAAAAAAGTTTTCCTTGCACCGTCCGACTGCGAGTCTTTATTCTACCGTCTACGATGAAACACTTTTTGATGTTCCTTTGGTGTTTATCGCTGCTCTTTATCTCGTCTGGTTTGTTCTGTCACACTTTCTCAGAGTTGATGGTATTTGATGTGACTGCTTTATTCAAATGACAAACTCTTACAATCAACAGACGGATCATCCGATTGGCAAAGCCTTTGTGAAGGCTCGGCTAATCTTTTGATCCAAACAAGAAATGTAACCTTATACAGACAGGGATGTTTACAGTTTTAAAAGAAATGTAAAACCATCGACTGCCCAAGCAAAGACTTCATCACAATAAATACAACATAGTTGCATTGGCTATTATGCATACAGCAGACAGTGTAGAATTGAAGAAGAGGACATGAAGTCAACACTGCGATGTTACCACTGATTCTAAGATGTCTGATGTGTCTAAAGGTTGGGCCTAGACTGGTTACCGATCTCTCTCTCTTGGTGTGCTTTACAACGTGTCTCTGATAGACATCATACCAACTTTATATCAAATATTGCAAACTAATCTTTATCCCTCCAGCTACAGAATGGCTAGAAGCAAAATCACTCCAAATTCCTCTAAATTCCTCAAAACAAATATATCATGTGTAGCACTGGAGCCTTCCAATATCACACGACCTATGGTAACCTGGAGAGAAATTACAGATAATCCAAAGAGCAACAGTAGTTCACACTTGATTTTACCTCCAAAAACTGAGAATGAAATATTGTAATATTCCAAGAAAACAGAGGTACAGCAACAACTAAACCGATTTGCACGACATGAAATAAGGAGCTATTTCCACCATCTGTTGTGTAGGCCTCAATTTACATTTGCTCACTAGATTTAATCTTGTTTCCTTGCGTACACATACAAATTGACACAATTTGGTCAGTGTAACGTGTAGAGGTTCTTCCCTTGTGACCAAGTTAGTTAGGTGAGGATGAACAATGTCACGATCAGAGGCCTTGATGAATCCACGCCCTTCACTCTGCGCCCTTCACTCTGCGCCCTTCACTCTGGGCCCTTCACTCCACACTCCAATAACAAGGCACATCACACCCTCATGCACCCATTTTCTGGTCCAATCCTCGTCTCTCCTCGTTTTACCGATGGTTCCAGCATGCCTAATTACTGAGTGAACCCGTCATACACAGACAGCTGATCAAGGCAAAGACAGCGATGCTGAACACCTCAAACTGGCCGTTGCAAGATGGTGGTCGGGAAACTTGAAAAGGTAGAAGAGGCAATCAGGCCGGGATTGGATGGCACATTGGTCTCAATGTTCAATCTTCCTCGAATTTCAGCCGAGAATTCAGTTGCATGGCTTCACATGGAATCATTAGAGTAATGAGGATCAAAGAGGAATAATGGATGGACAGTAATGAAAGTCAGTCCAAAGATTTCAAACTACTGTTTGGTTCAAATGAAAACTGAAAGTACATCACATCACATGACAGCAGAAGGGCTTGAAGGTCATAACAGTCCATTAAACTCATTAACTCAGTAGGTTTCCACTAATCGAAGTGATTTTGAAATGATGCAACTCGCATGACATCATTTTCAAACTGATCATTATTCACAAGTTTCTCATAAATTGAAGCTCCCCCTTCCGTACCAATCCTCCCGAGTGTAAATTTGTTGTTCCTGTTATGTAACTGGGTAAATATTGAACAAAACCTGCAATTATTACCAGCGAAGGGAATGGAAGATGAAATGCAGTATGAAATGAGAGCCTCTCCGCCTCTCTCTCTCCGAACAATGCCCTCAATTTGCAGCTGTTTACGAAGAGTCTACTCCTCAGAATGCTATGTTTCCATGGCAATGCTCAATAGCCATTTTTTCATCATGCGTACACCAAAAATCTGACATATATGGCTTCCGAATGTATCCTTGCTATCAATTAAACTGAAAATATTCTGATTCACATTCTTGAAGGAGACAGACCAGCGCAGACAAAAGGTAGAGAGAAATATCAACTCAGCTAGAGGCTAGCGATCAACACGAGCATGTAGAAGGAGAGCCGGTGTGTTCAGTTACAAGGGTAATTAAATACAACTCACAGCGTGAATCTAGTTAGCCTTATTATCCAAAGAGTTTATTCAAGAACTTAAATATCAGGCATCCACTCTGGGGATAACTCAAGTCCAAAGTTCAACATGGAATAATAACAGTTCACAGGGTGGTATGTACAATTAGGAGAAGCAAGATTGAAGCAAGGCGTCAACTCTTTGCATCATATTCCAACATAGAGAGCATTATGATAGGCCTGTCCTCATCAGCTCGAGTTTGCCAGATAACCCGCTATTTTAACTATCCCGATCAAAATTAGCCAGTTGATTTGCATCTTCATCAGCCTGCAGTTGCAATTAACGGGCTATTTGGTCAAGAAAATATCCTTAGAAATTTTGGTCTTGTTTCCAAAATATACGCTATTTGGGAAATAGCAGTCTAATTTGCGCCTGTCCGAGCTAGTTTGTGATGAGCGTATCAGTCTGGTAAAGAAGCAATTTCGAGCTCCGGGATAAAATCCACAGTCTGAAAATAGCGGGTCATTTGGCAAACTTGAGCTGATGATGATAGGCCTATTGTTTGAGTTCATACTCTCATCAAACGTTGATTCCAAAGGAATGCACTTCAACACACGTTTGATTTCATTGTCTACCCCAGCCAACCAACCAGCCATACGGCACTCCATCAAAAGACTCTATAATCATATAAAATAAATTGATATTCTCTCATGGTTCACGCCTCACCGCGTTTGCCTGCAATTTTCAAAATTACTCCCATCAAAAGGAATCACTAAAATGTGAGATGGAAAAGAGGGTCGATGTCTAAGTGATTTATGCTCCCATCCATCAAACAATTTAGAACGAACGGATCATTAAATTCTCACTTCTACTGATATTTGTCAGAATTCCAAACATTCACTTTAACAAGTTGCAGGCCTGCATTGTGAAAGCAGGATGAAGGAAGTTAAAGCTTCCCTTATGAGAGATGGAATAAACATTCAAAAGTCACATAATCAATATACTTTCACTTTTATATATCTCCCTATCCATGGTAAATTTTACTACTTCAGCTCTAATGCTGAAATCAATTAACCATTTGCACTTTTTCATGATTTCTATGATTTATATTATAAATTCAATTTCCTCCGGTGAATCAATGACAAGGCAATTAAACTTCCTGAAAGGAAATCGTTGTTTAATCAATGAAAATTGGTTGTGGTTATCTAGTTTGTGGTTTCTGGTATTAAAAGTCATTAAAAGGGAGCAGAGTGAAAAATGGCACAAAAGATCATTTAACAACCAATGACGTGACACATTTTGAATCAAAAATAGCTTTATATCATTGAATGTATGATAAAGGGGCATCAAATTTTCAATGTAAAGAGAGAGAAGAAGAAAAAAAAAACCTCAGTCCCCCCCCCCCCCCCCCCCCCCCTCTACATTAGAATATATAATTTTTGAAGCACACACAATTTTCAAGAATTAAGAAAACACAAAGAAAGGTACATGTAAAATTACTGTTTATATTAACAATTTGAAGCTGGACAATTTCTAAAATTAACAAGTTAAAAATTCATAGCAGCCAAATACCTACAAAATGTAAATTTAATAACTAAATATGAATTAGTTTTTAGTTTTGACAAGGGCAACACATATTTCATAATATGGAATGATTTTCAGTTGTAATCTAATTTAAAAATATAAATTGTCCCTTTAAAAAAAAATGAACAATGAATATGACATACATTAAAATGCTCGGTTGCACAATCATTCCACAATGCTACACTCTCACGAACTGGATGGAGCCAGAGGTTTACTTTCCAATACAAGAAAAGTGTGATATGAAAACAAAGAAACTCCCACAACCTGTTCCAACAAACATTCGAAGCCTGAGAAACATAACAACATGTGGATTCACACTTCAAATGAACTGATGTACACCAAGAAATATTTCATCCAAACACACTTGGAGGGGATGACAATCAAAAAAAAATATCCTTCTACCCGGTAATTGTCTTCCGATTCCAAAGTCCTACACCACTCAGCCACACGTGGGTCATGTCACAAGTTTGAAAGCAATGATGCAACAACTAAACACAGATATAGAGACAGGTATGATGAGACAATATCAATGTCTTGAAACAAATGCAATAAAGAAGCGGTTGCCATAGCAATATCACTGCCTATAAAGATACTAATGCTTGAATTCCTCACTTTATAAATGACATAATAAAATGAATTCTCTGAACCAGAAGAGGTAAGGCATAGAAGATTTGAGATGATGAAGGTGGTGGTGGTGGTGTATACCAGTTGCCAAGAAAGCTATGGTTGCCGTGGTTCACGAGGATGCCAGCTCCAGCATCGTCATTTAAGTGGGAGGATGCACGGCTTATCACAGCTAAGGTAGAACTAGCCAATCAGAGCACAGCCTTGTATGCTCACCTACCAAGCACTGAGTTTACATTAAAGTGCGAGCACTGTGTATCTACCATCCATCCATCCATCCATCCTCCTGCATCTCTCCCTTCTCTTCTGGCTTCTGATTTTCTCTAGTCTACCTCTTCCCTATTTTTTCTTTCTCTTCTATAAAAATAATACATACCCTATCGAAAGTGAAAAATGAAATAGATGAATTATATATCGACCGAAAGCTTATAAGCCACAGATTACAATCATATCAATTATATGTTATTTTAGTGTCTGCCTCTCTCTCTCTCTCTCTGTCTGTCTGTCTGTCTGTCTGTCTCTCTCTCTCTCTCTCTCTCCCCCCTCTATGTCTATCTCACTCTCTGTCTCTTCCCCTATCTCTCTCTCTCTCTCTCTCCCTCTCTGTCCATCTCACTCTCTCTCTTCCTTTCTCTCTCTCTCTCTCACTTTCTCACCCTCTCTCCCTCTCTCTCTCTAACTCTCTCTGACTCTCTCTCTCGTCCTCTCAGTCAATTTCACTGCTTGTTTCTCTTCCCATCTACATTTATAACTCATCCTTTGTGTCTCCTTTATTTGCCCTCTTCTTTCTGCTCACACCCTTTCCTTCCTATTCCTTTACTCTTCTTCTCGTGACCACTCATCAAGGACATCCCATGATACCACTTTGTCCTATTCAATTCATCTACACACCACTCATATAAAGTCATTAGACATGTTTAATAGGCTTTGTCTTCCAGTGAGAGGCATATTAAGGCATTTACACAATGTTAAGATGATGCATGTTTTGCCCTTCTGTCTCTCAAGACGTGATACAGTGTTTCCTCATTAGAGCTTCTCAACGGACCAGAGAATAGCCTGTATCTCTAAATTATGATTCATTCATTAGGCCCATTGTTCAGTAATCATATAATCAGCTTGGAATCCAAATAAACAAACTAATATGTATCATATCATACAAAGTCCATTCAAACAGTAGCAAGTGGGTTTTTAGTGATAACTATAAACTTCCCGTTATCAAAATGCATACTAATTATAATGTGATCTACACAGCATTGTGATATCTTGTCTACCACCACATACATACCTGACCCCTCCCCCCCCCCCCCCCCAATTTTATTTTTTCTTTCTTTTTCTTTCTATCTCCCCTACCTCCCTCCTTCTCTCTCTCTTTCCACACTCTCTTCTTTTCTCATGTTCTTTCCCTCCCCTTCCCCCTCTCCTTTCACCTCTCCCTCCCCCTCTCCCTCATTCATCTCACTCTGCCCCATTCTCTCTCTATCTCCCTATTTCAAAATGTTATTTTGCAT